AATAAACAGGCTGATTTCAGTTTCTTTTCTGTGGAAGTTTGACAAGATGTTGCTCAAAGATAAGGAGAGAATCAGTAACCAACTCATCCAGTCGCATAAACTCCTAGGTAGAAATAGTGCAGGGAATGCCCCTGAGATTGCCCTGGTTTGTCCTTCTCCAAGGCTCCCCACCACCTTTCTCCATAATAAATTACCTCTGACCATTTTCACATTCTTTGCAGATCCTAATCTGATCTGCCAGTGACCTCTCCCACTATACCTTTAACAAACCCTTGGAAAGCAGTGTGTGAATCTGAAGTAAAAAGGTTCTAGTGTTGAGTAATTTCAGGTCTTCAGAAGAACTTTTGAAGGAGATACCTTGGAGTAGAGGATTGAAGATCATTCTAGCAGCTTTTGTTTTGTCTTTGAGCGCCACTCCCCTAGCATACCATGTAGGTTTGTGATCCCTTTTTTAAAAAATAGACTTCATAAAAGAATTATGTAAGAATTATGTATCTCCGTGTTCATTTTTAAGTTGATACTTGAATTTCCCATCATAAACTTAAATACTTGTAGAGACTATTAATTTCAGACTTACTGTAAATATTGATATTTAAATGCAACCAATGGATTCCAAATACCACCAATGTTTGGTACCCACCATCATCCATTTAAAAATATATGAACAGGCCCTCCCTGGCGGTGCAGTGGGTTAAAGCACAGTCCTACAAAGCTGTCTGCAAGCACTGCAGCACAAGTTCCATCCCTGCCCAGGGAGGTGACCCACATGGTTCAGCAGACCTCTCCTGACCCATCTGCTGCTTCCCTCAGCAGTGTATTTCAGTCCATCTGCCTGTTCTGCTCTCCACTCTGTAGCTGGTGAATCCTCTCACCCTCACACCCACACCTCTGGCCTGTCCCCCAGTTCTTATATGCATAAATAAATAAATCTTAAAAAAATATATATGTGAACAAACTCTTTAATTGAAATTGTATGTATCTTTTCCTCTTGAATTCCTCCATTTATTTTCCCTGCAAAACTTTATCCTAATTAGTGTATTTGTATGCTTTAAAGTAAGTCATCACTGTCATACTTACTTGCAACAAAAACAAGTATAAATTGATTTACCTGTGACCATAATTATTAAAACATTGCTTTTGAGTTGAATGTCATTACAGTTACTACTAGCACACAATTTATGAAATGACATGGGTTTTTTTTTATAACTTTAAACCTAAAAGTACAATTTTATTGAAAATGCAGCTCTTGCTGAGAAATATGATTTCTCCTCAGTTTACTTAGGCATTTATGGATAAATATAACCTAACAGGAATAGGAGATAAAGTGTAGCATCAACTCTTTGCTTTCTTTTTTTATTCCTATGGACATAAACATTGAAAAACATTGTTCACATTGTAGTTAGAAAAGGAAGAGATTTATTACAATGGTATTCCTCAGGTCTTTGCACTACTGCTAAATGATGTTAATAATCAACATTACCAAATACTATCATCATTACCAAATACTATCATCAAGTACTTTAATTTTATTAAAAGCAAAGAATTGGAAATCACAGAATTTGAAAAGGATGTATTACCTAGTCACGAGAATCTCAGCTTGAATCATATAAAAATGTTTGTTACCTTTTCATTCAGAAAAAAACTTTGTTAAGTATTTTCCTACTCCTTTGTCAGTACAACTTTTTTGATAAAATTCTTTTACCGTTACATATTCTCAGGGTATTTTTGTTAAAATATTAAAGCATAGGGCCTTCCCTGCTGGGCAACAGGCTAAAGGACAGCACTGTGCAGCTCTCCGCAGCCACTGCAGCAGCAGTTTGATCCCCACCAAGGAGGGGGCCCATGTGGAGTGGCACACCTGCCTGCTGCTCCCCTCAGCAGTGTATTTCAGTACATCTATCTGTTCTGCTCCCCACTCTGCCTCTGGTGAATCCTCTCATCCCCCAAACTTCTAGCTTGTACCCCTGTTCTTGTATGCATAAATAAATAAATCTTTAAAAAATACATTAAAGTACAGATTTACTTCAACATAGAGAACATCCGCCAATTACAGGATTAGCTTTAGTCAGTCTATTTCAAACCAGCCTGCCTAAGATAACTTACTATCAGAAAAAATTCTGATTTTATTCTTCAATTCAAATAACAGGTTACTATTCACTTTGAAGAATATTATAAAAGTCACTGGGAAATAAGTTATTAGTAAGACCAGTCAAGGTTAAAACTACATAGATCTTACATTAATATTACAAAAATTATAAAAAGATAGTGCTGTTGTATGATTTGGAAAAATGCCATGTAGTATATAGTTAAAGTCATCAATTTATTAAGAAGTAGAAGAGAAGGTGTGTTAACCCCCTGGCAAATGTGGGTGTGTGTTTAATACTGAACTCTGATATTTGGCTCTTGGGAACAAATAAATCATGTCTAAAAGTCAGAAGTAATTCCAATAATTTGGTAAACTTCATGATCAACTTTTCCCTATGTATTCAGTAAAAAAGAAAGGTATGTAGTGGGTTGAACAGCTAACAATTTCAGTTTTTGCTAGTAGGAGGTAGAAAATAGTACATGCTTTAATAGATGAAATAAGAGAATTTATTGAATTGGGAATGTTTTGATGTGAAAGGGAAAGACAACTCCCACTCCTCAGGATTTTTTTTTTTTTAAGATTTATTTATTTGTGCGTACAGAACTGGGGTACAGGCCAGAGACTCAGGGGTGGCGAAAGACCTCACCAGAGACAGAGCGGGGAGCAGAATAGGCAGATCGAGGAAGTACACTGCTGAGGGGAGCAGCGGGTGGGTCAGGAGAGATCTGCCACGCCATGTGGTCACCTCCGGGGCAGGCGGGAATCGAACTCATGTGGAAGTGGTTTCAGCTTCTTAGTGCTGTGCTTTAACCCGCTGCGCCACCAGGGAGGGCCCTGTTTTGTTTTTTAAAGAGGTTTCCTGCTCCCTGGCCAGTGGGCCAGGATCAAACTTGTTTTACAGTGGCTGGTGACAGCCACCAGGAAGTCCCCCCATGCCTCAGTTGTTTACCCTGGGTCACGTATCAAGAGCCAGTGTAGATGAGGAACATAGATGCTTTATGGTGAAAGCAGAGGTGAATGGAGTGCATGAAAGTGCCAGTTGTCTTTGGTATAGATTAGTTTCAGGGAGACTTCATCTGGAAATTGAGTATCTGGAAATTTATTCCCTTTAAACTCTCCTTAGGTTGATTTTCTTGTCCAGGTACCCCTTGGAAAGTCTTTACATACCCTTGGAAAACCTTCATGTACCCCACTTTAAAAATTAATATAGGGCCCTTCCTGGTGGTGCAACAGGTGAGGACGCAGTACTGCCAAGTTAGCCACAGGTGAGCCACAAGGCGCAGCAGACCTCTCCTGTCTCGCCGCTGTTCCCCTCAGTGTACTTCTTCAACCTGCCTTTCCTGCTCCCCACTTTGTCTCTGGTGAATCCTCTCACCCTCCCACACCAGTTCTGTATGCATAAATAAATAAATCTTTAAAAAATTAATATAGGCAGACCCATAATCCAATGGTCCTGACTATGCATCATTACAGAACATCATTCTAAGTCTCTAGGAAGTAAGGCGAAAGGCTTGATGTTTTTGGAATAGAAGAGGGTTAAGAGAAAAGACAAGGGATGTTGCCAAGTTGGTGTAATCATGATGGTCCTGGATATGGTCCTAAGCTTTGGAATTCTGGAAAGTTTTATTGGTGTACATAAAGGTGTTCATATTTTGGCAACACTAAATCAAACTGAGTTTGAAGTTAAAAAAGAATGTATAAAAAAGAATGCCAGTGAATGAATTTATACTCACAGTTACCAAGTGGAGTGGATTCTCTTTCCTGTTGGAAAATCTATGTGGAAATATCAGTTGTAATAAACAAGTTACGTGAAGAGTGTCAGACTTGAGCATGGCTATTCATGGCTGTTGTTACAAGCTGTGCTATCCTGATGCATGGTGCCTGGTGCCTAATAGGAGCTCTGTAATTGTGGAATGAATGTACCTATTTTATAGATGCTGCAGGGAACTTTCAGTATTTTGGTAAGCCAACCCAACATATTTTCCCTCCTAAATTGCTTATCGTGTATTAAATACAGTGGAATTTTATGTCAGGTATGTTTATAATTGCAGTAATTGAGTTCTATCTGTTCTAAGTTCTATGCCTACGATTCTAAGCCTATGATTAGGATTCTTCATTTGTAAGTGAGAATGGAGCTTGCTTTCTCATGCTCCATATTAGGAGTAAATGACATTACTGGCCGAATGATCTATATTTCAGAATTCTAGTTGGTGGCATCACACTACATTGTAAAGAACAGAGATGGGCAATTCTCAGAGCTGGTACTTTGCTAGAGGTGGGATCTTAACTAGAGAGGTGTTTGAGTCACCTATGGCCTGGTCAGCATTTGGTAACTGTACTGTGGTGAGGAGGATTAATACCCTAAATTTACCCCACTTTCAGACCCCCCCTTAGAAGATAATTCTTGATAATGCCTTTAAAATAACAAAGAAGGTGGGCCCTCCCTGGTGGTGCAGGAGGTAAATGCAACACTAAGAAGCTAAAGCCACTTCTGCATGAGTTTGATCGCCACCCTGGAGGTGACCCACATGGCTCAGCAGACCTCTCCTGACCCGCCCCCTGCCTCAGCAGTGTACTTCATCAGTCAGCCTGTTCTGCTCCCCACTCTGTCTCCGGTGAAGCCTCTCACCGCCCCTGCACCTCTGGTCTGTACCCTAGTTCTGTATGCATAAATAAATAAATCTTAAAAACAACAACAGAGGCAAGCCATCACAAATTCTCAAATCAGTAGTAAATTCTCAAATCAGTAGTAATAAGTGGACATTTTGGGTAAATTTTGTCAGGAAGTCAGCAGATACTTTTTCTAGCTCTTGGTTAAGCTATTGATACATAGGAAAAGATGTCAGGCTGAGGGGTTTCATTTAGTATTTTAATAATAATAATAATAAAAAAAGACAATACAAAATCCAAACATTTCTTTTTACAAATTCAGATACATTTTTTTCCCCAAGTGCAAAATACTCTATGAACTGCATTATTTACTGTTTATTGTTGATTGTATAGGAAATGCTTACTATACAGTAGTGGAAGGCAGATATAAATACAATATTTTGCGATTTCTTTTGAATTAAAAAAAAAAGCCTCCCACATGGTAAATGATTATTCTCTGAAACTTCAGTTCAACTCACATAAAGTTTTCAATTTGTCCAAACTGCTACAATGTGTTGTCTAGATAAGCTGATAACAGAATTGGGGGTTCTAGTCCCTCTAATCTTATCTTTTCTTAAAGGGTTCCTATTCCAAATAATGACCCAAGCACAGGGTGTGCTACCTTAGAGACAAGTCAAATTTAAAGAGATCCTCGCTTCCACTTTTCTCTTCCTGTGCTTAAAGCAACCAAGCAGTTAACATGTTCTGCTCATGGTCAGAGTTTTCCCCTCGCTTGCGCCTATTATATTGAGGTAAAGCAGCAAATACAAAAGTTTGAATGCTCTGTAACATCTTCTTTCATTTTTCGCTCTGACCTTCTAATCCACTCCAAAGTCACCTCAAACATATGTCATGGAGAACACTTCGCAAATATAAACGTTTCACTGGGGCCAAAGACCAGGCTGTGTTACTGAGCTTTCAGCAAGAAATCTAAGCCTCTACGACCTCACGTTAACCAAATCCTGGGAAAGTCAGAGAGCTGTCACAGCTCAGTATCAGCCTTCGAAGATTTGTAGGCTGGAGCAGGGCAGCTCAAGTTCAGGCTCTGGTTAGTTTTTCCCAGCTCAGAATTCTCTCAGGTTGATAGGATGGGTCTGGCCTAATAATACAGAAGGAGAGGAGGGATGGCCACGTTGCTGAGGATACAGGCCTTTCTGATATGCATCACTTAGGCTCAGAGCCCTTTCCCAGATGCTGATCAGGGTGGGTTTTGAACTAAGATAAATGAGGCCTCACAGTATTGTGGCCTTACAAGCACCCCGCCCTGCAGAGGCCTCTGGGCTGGTTTTTCTCTTTGACCTGTAAAGGCCTAGAGTCCCTGAGTGTTGACTCCTCATCTGGTCCATTTTAGCCCTGATTTGGTGCCCCAGGGCTGGTTTCCTCCAGAGGTTCAGCAGCAGCTTTGCCTAATTTTTTAACCCCCAACTTGGATGAAATTAAACTTGGTGGACATTAGCGGGTCTTCACCTGCTCACAAAGATTTTCTTGACATCAGTTAAGAAGCCTAGTGGTCTATACTTTCCATACTGTGGAAATCATTTGCAGGTCTCAGGTACCATGGAATAAATGGTTGGAGGAAGTGTTTGTGTGTACCTATGGGGTGACAGGAAAGGGAAGCGAGCAAGACCAGAATCCGAAGGCATAATTTGGGAAGCACTCTGACTGACTTTCCAAGAAAGATACAAAATATAGGGGGAGGGGAGTCAGTTATTCTCGCTCCTTGTGGTGCATAAGGGTGGTCAGAATGGATTAAAGCAGTTTTCAATGGGAATTGTGGACACTTATTAAATGACCATTTCTCTGCTTGCAAGCCTAAGGGCCAAGGTGTGAGCTGTTGGAGGTTAGGGGATCTAGCTGTGACGGGGCTACCTATCTCCTGAGGCCGTTTTAGTTGGTGAATGCTCCTGATTATAGGAGCAGGGACAGGAAGAAGGGGGGGGGGTCAGGCTCCTTTAAACAGTGTTGTCTCCTGGGGAAGCAGCAGCCAGTCAAAGTCATTTAGAAGTGAACCCCAGGAGTCAATTGGTCACCTTTGATCGAATAGGGCCACAGTTTTAGAGAAACTAGGAGCAAAAGAAAATTTTAAAGGCAGCAGTTGGACTGATGCTGGCCTATGTGTAGGATCTGGGCTTGGGCCTGGACTTGAGTCTTCTTCTTCCTTGGAAAAGCAGTAGTTGAGGAGCTAGGCTTAAAGTCAACTCCTCAGGAGTGGCAGACAGGTAGGAATAGGCAGAGTGGACAGGGTCAGGCAAACAACTTCACGTCTGACTAGCAGTCCTATTCTTGGCTCCCACTGCGTTGTCTCTGACCTCTGGGCCCTGAATCAGCCGTTGCCAGGAGGTTTGTCTTGGTTGTCTTCTGTGTACATACCAGGAAAACCAGGATGAAGGCAGGGAGAGATGGAAATTTTCCCTACTTGGGGTGGAGAATCACTGGCCGGTTCCACTGGCCTCAGCAATCACAAGGTCCACGCTGAATCCGCAGAGAGGCACAGGGATGGCAGAATTGGTTTAGCAAACGCAGGTGCCTCTCCGTCCTGCTCCATCAAGTCCTAGAATTACCGTCCTACACACCAGGTGCCTTTGAGCCTTAGCCCTGGGTTACCTCAGGCTCTAGAGGGCTGGCTGAGTACTGGTGGAGGAATAGAAATAGATTAGATGCTCCAGCACTCAGGGTTCATGAGATTCAAAACCTTTTTTCTTCCACTACAAACATACACTCTTCTCTCTTGGGCAGCTATAAATAGGGTTGGTCTAATATAGGAAAAAGAAACAAAAACAAAAAACAAAACCCCTCCCTCTAGACAACATAGAAAGACTCAAAATGATTGCACTTATTAGATGTGGACAGGGAAGGCAGAGGCTTGCCAAGTGCACACACATTCCTCTTGCTGCCCAGAGCCCGAGGCCAGAGGTAGTCGGCTCCAGGCTGGCTGCAGAGTGGGTCCTCTTTGGTGGAGCCCACAGGCCATCTGGGGCTACAAGGGAAATGCCTTTCCACTCTGGGGTGAGGCCCAGACTGGCTTCTGGTTGGCAGCGATGTTTCTTTAAGGACAACACTCTTAGCTCGGGGAGTGGGGCTCCCCCAGGGAGCACTCAGGTGGGAGTGAGGGGGTGGCTGGGCCCGGGAAGACAAGAAATGGGACTAGTGTTTGAGGTTGGCTTCCAATTATTCTGTACGATAGTCCTTCAGATGATACATTTTCTTTCTTCTGTTTTCCTTTTTTGTCGATGCTTTAAAACCTGGTTTCTGTCCTGCAGTCTTTCTCTTGGGGAGCCACCGTGGTGCTTTCGCCGTGGTAAAGCCTACTGCTCTTCCTCATTCAGCCCGGTGTCCGCTAGCCCCGTGTGGGGGCCCTCTGTAAGCCTTCATGGGCAGATGTGTAGGGGAAAGAGAGGAGCTGTACAGATGCGGAAGCTGGCTGTGCGGGCTCCAGGGCTCTGTCCCTGTGCCCAGAGGACCAGCAGTCCTGTATTTACAGAAGCCTGTAAATCAAAGGCTCCTTTGGCAGAACTCTGGGCTGTTAGAATCACCCTGGGGGGGCACAGCCAGGGACAACAGTTTGCCTCCTGACTAGCAAGGCACACCCTATAATGGCAGCAGCCCTGCTCCCCACTCCCCATTCTCCAGTAGACTTAATTGCTTTGGGGCCTTCCAAGCTGACGGCGCCTGAGATGTGAGCTAGTAAAATGGGCAGTGTGGTTGGGGAGGGGTGTTTCTTCACCCCTTCGGTGGAAGAGAGCCAGCACTGAATGGCTTTTCCAGGGAGCATGTAAGAAAAGGAAAAACACTAAAGTGGGGGTGGGGGCAGGAAGCAAGGCAGAGACAGACAGGGAAGGAAGCTGAGAGACAGAAAGGAAGAGTACCTGGTCTATATAGTGATTTTTTTTTCTCTGAAAAGAGAAGAGAGGGTTCCTTATCCGAGGGTGGGGGCTGCTGGCTCTGAGGGCTAAGGAGTCCAGGGTCTTGGTTATAGGGGCACTATTTATAGGGCCTCAAGAAGCTGGAAACTTTAGAACGGAGCAGCTTGATGAAGGATTTCGGCAGCATCTCCTTGTGCTTCTCTGTGTACTTGAAGTAGTTCTGGGGGTGGGCCAGCACCTCAAAGAAGGCCTTGATAAGCTTCTTGTCCTGCAGAGGGTGGCAGGTGGCAGAGTCAGCCTCAGTGTCGGGGTGGGAAAGAGTAACACCAGTGGCAACTCAGCAGCACCCTTCTTGAGGCTAACAGGCTAACTCAGAGGTGAGCTCTGGATTCCCGTCCCACCATCTGCTCCTTCTTTAGGATTCAAAGCTCAGTCAAGGCAGGTCCATCCTTGCATTGCTCAGATCCCAATCTTTAGAACCAGCCCTGACTCCTCTCTTTGGCTCCCAATCACAGATAATCCTGTTGACTATTTTCAAAAATATACCCAGGATCTGACCGCTTCTCCACCCTATCCAAGCCACGGTCACGCCTCACTTAGACTGTGGAGTAGCCGCTTAACTGTCTCCATGCTTCCACCTATCCTTGTCCCCAACAGCAGCCAGAATAACTCTTTTAGTTTTTAATTAGCATATGATCTTAATCTGTTCAAAAGCATCTCTGGTTTCTTTTTTCAGCCAGTGAAGCTGAACCCCTGATGTGGCCCATAGGCTCTATGTGATCTGTACCCTCCTCGCTCCTCCACCCCAGACACACCTCGCGTGCTCTGCCTAGCCTCCCTGGCCTTCTCAAGCTTCTTGAACATGTCACGCTGTGTCCATGTTCTTAGCTTGAAATGCTCCTCTCCTGACCCTCTAACAGGCAGCTCTTCAGAGCCCTCAGATCTCTCCAGGGAGACCTGTCCTGGCTACTCCAGCTCTAACAGCGACACTGGCGTGTGGAGCTCCCGCCAGACGCTGTGCACGGCCGCGCCGGTCTTCTGGCTTCTAGGACAGTGTTCTTTCCCTTGCATTAGCAGACTTTTAGAATAAGATTTGGGGCGTCCAGACTCTCATCTCCACTTTAACAGAATAGCTGTCCTACTTAATGCTTTGGAGTTCCACAGCGTAATTGAAACAGGGTTCAGATGCCCCCAGCACCATTTGAAGAGCATTCTGAAAGTACACCCTTTGCAGGCTGCAAGTTCCAGAATGTTTCGTCCTCATGTCTTATTTAGATGCTAATGTAAAAATTATTTATCAGAAAACACCTCCCACCCCACCCCCAGTGATAATGTGTGTAAGCTAATACTGTAACTAGGACTAGTCTAGTCTACGGTGTTGGAAACATTTCGCGAAAATGAGTTAACGCTGAGAAACACGCCGCTAGATCACCCGCCTTTTCTGTCGAAGCTGGGAAGGAAGTAAGGGGAGGGAGGGACTTATTGCAGAAGTACCTTTTGTACCTTATTTCCCTTCTATCTCTTGGTGGGAGAGGTAGGGGAGTGTCATTTCACGTTCCTCTTCCCCCAAGGAGTAACATAGTGTGACTAACACTGTAGTCAGATGAGCTTGACGCAAACCCCAGCTTTACCATGGGGCAAGTTCTGTGACTCCTTGTGCTTCAGTCTTCTCATCTATAAAGTGGGCGCGATGAAGTACGAGCTTCACAGACCTATGGTGTGTATCAAGTGAGACTGCCCATGAGAGCACTTAGCACATTGCCTGCTCATAGCTGGTCATCCCCAGTGTTAATATTCACTCACCTTTAAAATCTCCTGGTGGTTTTCAGATGCGTAGAGCCGGCCATCCCGCACAATGTCTTCTACCAGCTGCTCGTAGTCCTCTGCAGAGTCAACCCAGGGAACGCTTAGGGGTGCAGACTTCTGCTCCCCTCTAAAGACCTCTGGTTTTCCCATCCTTACCCACCTCGCTGCCCTCCTGCCCTCACTCACCATCATAGGTAACATAGGGGATCTGGAAGCCACGGGCACTGTTGGCCTCACTTGTCTTGAAATTGATCCAGAGCTTCCTGGAACGAGCCGTGAAGGCGATTGGGCGCTCGTAGGTCTGGCAGGTCTCATAGGTGGTAATGGAGGATGGGGAGGCTGGGAAGGCAAGCAGCGGGTTAGGAGGGCAGCAGGACCGACTCTTCTGGAGTGAGGGCTGTTGGGGGAAGGCATCATGCCGTGCATGCAACCCCCTCCCCCATCACATAACCTCCCCCACTGCCCTGGGCTTGTTCCACAACCCCCCTTTGACTTCCAGTGCCTAGTGTAAGAAATCTGAAATGTGCATGAATGGGATGGCAGAGACGCCAGCCCAGGAAGACGTCACATACTATGCAGGAGTTCCTCCACTGGCTTTCCAAACTCCGCTCTCCCTCCGCCATGTAATGTCCATTGCTGATTTCCTTCTCTCCTCCCAAGGCCTCCCCTTCCACCGCCCTTATTCCTCCTGTACCAGTCCTCTCTCCCGTCCGACCAGACTGACTGCCCTCCCTTAGCCCGGCTCTGAAGCCACCCACAGTTCTTTCTCATGACGAGGACATCCCCACACTCGTCCTCTGATGGCAGGAAGATCTCGGGTACCACGATAAGGATCTTGCGCTTGGGTGGGGGGTTGATGTTCCAGACGCACTCCACACCGGCTGGGTAGTTGCCTGGGTAGTTGGGGGACTCGATATAGCCAGTGAACTCACCCAGCTCCCCACCACACTGGCGATCTGTAGCCGAGCCCCGGTGGACAGAAGCAAGAAAGAGAAGGGAAGTCAGTGGGGGAACAGGTCAGGGAAATGGAAGAGTTCTGAAGTGGAAATCAGACACGGGCCATCTCATCTCACTTCACCTGTCTGCCTCCCCAGTACCTGTCTCTAGGGGGAGGGTGCTAAGAGCCCAGCTTAGCAACTGGTCCTGAGGTTGAATGGGCTGGGGAAGATGGGGGATGGGATTTTCCTGCTCTGCTCTCCCCCACCGGGCCCCACCCCTTCCTCTCTCCACCGCTCCCAGGCCTCTCTACCCCTTTGGTACAGCCTGGTCTGCCACGTACTCTTGCACTGGGCCACACTGGTGGATCCGTCGAAGTCAGTGCTGGTGTTTCCTGGACAGCGGGTGCAGAAGTTCTGACGGAAGTCGGGCTGATAGGAGCCCATGGCGCAGCGGATACAGCGATGAATGCTGGTGTTGTAGTAGTGCCCAGGAGAGCACTGGACTGCAGGCAGGGGGAATGGTGGGAGGTAAGGGTGGGCCAGTGGGAGCTGCGGGTCGTGAGTTGGGCAGGACACTCTTCTCATGGAGAATCAGGAGACTGGGACACCGGAGTTCCTTCCAGCCTTTCCAAGTCAGGCCAGAGTTTAAGGCCAGGGAAAACCAAACTTGACAGGCTGGTTGGCTGTGCCAGTCTCTTTCTTTCAGGCACCGAGTACAGTGTCCAGCTGGTACAGAATTTCTTTTGGGACGCTGAGGGGAATGTGCCACCTGTTCTCCAAAGTGGAGGGTCAGGGGACAGTTACTTACTCCCCGAGCCCCAAGTGTGGGACTGGCGGAGGGTCAGGACAGGTCCTATGAGTGGGATGAGGTGGTTGTTTAGACCTCTGGGTCTTTCCCGTTTGGGGACAAGTGTTTACATCTGCTACGGAGACTTGGAGAGGTTTTTTGGGAAGTAGCTGGAGTCGAGGAATCCCCTAGCGGGTGAGTAGCCCACTCACCTTTGGTGTCACAGTCTTGGAAGGACACAGCCCCTTCGTGCTTGGTGGTGAGGCCTCCACCGCACGGGAAGCACAGGGTCCGCCCTGCTTCAGGTTGGTAGGTGCCGCGTGGGCAGGGCTGGCAGGGCTTGAAGCCATCTATTGAGTATTGGCCAGGTGAGCACTGACCTGCAATGAACCAAGGGCCCGACTCTGATGGGGATGATCCTGGCCACGCCCAGAGGGTCACCCAGTCTCAGGGGACAGAGGCACACAAATAGGATGTTGACTAGGAGAATGGCCTGGAGCCTGGGCCTGCCCTTGGGAAATCCCATGCCCATGGGCATCCCAGTGCCCACCCTACCCCACTCTGTGTCATTTGTTCCCCTGGCACCTGCACACGTGGTGACGTTGGTGGCTCCAAGAGGCCCGTGGGCATCACTCCCAGGGCAAGGGTCGCAGGAGAGCTGCCCTTCTCTCTCCTGGAAGGTGCCCGCTGGGCATGGCACACACTGCTCCGTCTGGCCGTGGTAATACGTTCCCTGCGGGCAGCTGACTGAGGGAGAGTCGGCCGTGCTAGCCACCCACCCCCACTAATTCCCACCCCCCAGGTCTGGGGTTCCCCTTCCCACTCCCCCAGATTCAAGGAGAATCCTACTTTGGAGGATCTGGGACCAAAGCCATGTACAGGAGGGTTGGTGGCCCCACCTGATGGCCTAGATTTCAGCCTGGGACCAGGAAGGGGGGAGGATGGGTCTTGGCTGCCTCACAGTTTGAGAGATGCAACTGAGGCCATAAAATGTCTTGCTCTGAGTCAGGCCCAAGCCCTCTTTCCTGCTCCCCTGTTCCCCAGCAAGCTCCCTTACCACACTTGACCCCAGATCGGTGCTGTCCGGGCCTGCAGGCCTCCACCAGCTCGGGTCGCTCCCCAGCTACCAGGCCTGGCTTGTGAGCCAGCTCGTAATCAAGGCCTGCCAGGCGCAGCAGGAAGCGGTCCTGGTTGATGGATTTTCTGAGCATCTTCAGGGACCCTTTCAGCCGCCTTTCCATCCGCTGACGAAGGCAGGTCAGTCCACAGCCCGCTGGTAGTGAATGAAATGAGTCAGGGAAGGAAGAGACAGTGCGGTGGTGAGGAGGGCGAGGGAGCAGAGTGAGGAACTAGAAGGGGTGCAGCAGAGGGATGGCTCCCCTGGGCTTGGCGTTCGGGGGTCTGCCTGGGTCCAGGCTCTCTCCCTTCCCTTTGGGGCTGAGACCTGAGTGCCCCCACCTCCTCCTCCCCTTCTGGCCCTCCTCCCAGCGCTGCCCTCAGGCCCACCTGTGGTTTCTTCCGCTCTGACCTCTGCCTCCAGTTCCAACGTGAGCCGAGTGACTTCCTTGCCTGGAGGGGTCCGGGCCCTCCGGCCCTTGCCCTTCCGAGAGGAGTCACACTTGAGGTGGATGAAGGTGACCTGGCAGTCAGAGCAGGGGGCACCACCTGGGGGAGAGGCCTTGTCAGCCCCCCCTCCCCCGGGTACCTCCTGGGGTCAGGGGAAGTTCTCCCTTCCGGCTCTCACTTTTCCACCCCAACCCAGGCGGACCTCACCACATCTCTGACTACAGCTGTCTCAGTTCTTTTTTAGTTTAGTCTAGTGGGGCTAACATCCTAGGACTTCCTAGGAGAGCCTACGACTGCTTTCACCCCCTCCTTGGGGTATAGAGTCCAGGAGCCAGTTGGCCTTTGGAGATCTTGGCTAAGCAGAGGAGCTGAATGGTGGGAAGGGTTGGTCATCACCTAGCCCGTTGGAGTGGGGTCCCCAGTCCAGACCTGGCCCCAGGATTCTGCTGGCTTCCTCCATTTTGCCTTTGTTTCTCAGGTGTAAACGGCACTTGGCATCCTTGATCTTGAACGAGGCCCGCTGTTTAACCGGCAGCACTGCAGCCTCTAGAGGGATGGCATAAGCTCAGCATAGACTGGGGGGCGCCGTGGAGGCAGGGGCTGTTGGGGACTGTGCTAAGAAGCTGGACACTGAGCTGGGCGCTTGGTTAAAAGAAAAGGGATTAAGGAAGCCAAGGGAATATCTGATGTTAGAGCAGGATAAGGGGAGTCAGCAGGACTCGAGAATTACAGAGCGAAGAAGGGCATCGAGGGAAATGGCCAGGGATTAATGAAGAAGAGAAATGGGGGTGCATGGCAAGCGAGCAGGGTAGGAACAAGCCCTGGGCTGGTGCTCACCATGGCAGTGGTTGGAGTTCGTGCTGTTTCCGCTATGGCCAGCTCTGGCTGGAGAGGCCTTGGGGCTGGGAGTGCCACAGCTCACCGTGAAGCCATTCTCAGACTCTGAGAGAAGGGGGCAGTCACAGCTCTGTCCTGTCCCCACACTCCCCATGGGCTGGAGGAATCCAAGGGGGGCTGAACAGCCAGCCTTTCTTCCCTGCTAGTCCGCCCGCCCGCACCCTCTAGGTACCTGGCAGGAAGCGGGCTCGGGACGGGCAGTTCAGGGCACAGGTGTCCTTCTTGCCAGACCGATTGCAGCTGAGCATAGCTTTTGAGGCACCAGGACTGCTCTGGCACTTCATGGGCTCTGGAAAGGGGAGAAAGGCCTGAGGAGGAGAGGGTCTTTGTCTTCCACTCCCTCCCTCAGCTGGGTCATTTGGAGGAAGAAAATCAAATATATGCAGAACTGTGGTGTTAAGGGGAGACGGAAGAAGGGGAATTCAACTGGTTACATTCCACCCACTACCGGGTACTCCAGGTGGTGCTCTCCACACTTTGTAGGATCCCAACTCTCCCTGCCCCTTCCCTGACTCCCAAAACTGCAGCGGCAGCTCCAGCCAGCAGAGGGCGCTGCCCACCTGTGCAATCCTTGCCGTTCCAGTGCAGCCGGCCCTGGCCTGCTGGGCACGTACACTGGTAGCTGCCCGGAGTGTTGATGCAGCCAAAACGGCAGCCACCACGGTTGATGCTGCACTCATCCACGTCTGGGAGGCAAGGGGGGGGGGCAGAAGACAGACAACGGTGAGGACAGATTAGAAGCCAGGGAGTGGGCAGGGAGGACTCTGGTTAGAGTGCCAGTACCTCGAAGATGCCCACTGGCCTGAGAAGAGCTCAGACCTTAGGACCATTTGTCCCCAGTCAAAAGATTGAACAGTTGAGACAGGGTCAAGCTAATGAGCTTTTAAAAAGTTTTTTTACTTCCAACCAGCAGGGTGTTATTTCGACAATTCTACCACTGAGGCACTCAGGGTGTAATTTCCGAGCTAAGAATGGGAATCAAAGTGCAGGGCAGTGATGGGGATGGAAGACAGAAATTCTGGAGATGGGATGCTGCACCCCAATACCCCAGTCTCCCAGTTGTCTTCCACTTGCGGGTTTCCCAGAGCCACAAGCCAACTCAGGGACTCGCTCAATGGAAGGGTAAGGTCAGAGGGGCTGGGTGGCTGAAGTACAAATTTGCTAGCTTACCCCCACAGTGGGTGACACCATACAGCAGGTAGCCATGATGGCAAAGGCACTGGAAGCTTCCTGGCGTGTTGACACATATGTGGTCACAGGTTCGATCAAAGGAACACTCATCTATATCTAGAAGAACAAGAACTCAAGCTACAAATCTGTTGTGGGGTACTTGACCCTAGGACCTCTTATTCAGGTGAAGAACCCATATGAGAGGCCCTGATTGTCCCCCTTGAGAGTCCCTGCTCATGGGCTAGCCTTAGGAGCAGCAATTCAGCAATGCCCACCCATCCCCCATGGCTCCTCCACTCACAGCCTTGGTAGTTAGGGACTGTGAGATCTGATGCTGGTGGGTCAGGGCTACAGTGCATGGTCAGGCAGGTCAAACCCTGCCAAGGACATACATTGGGGTGAAACCCATCACTTACTGCCCAGCCAGATGCCCAAGCTTGGGGCTGGTCTATTACATATGAATGACATCGCCTTTGGAGACTCTCACAGTCTCTATTGAGTTTCTCAGAGGTGCCCTTTGGCCACCTTGAACCTCTCTGACCCCCAAGGCTTTCCCCTTGACCCATGGTGCTCACCCTGGCAGTTCCTCTCATTGATGAGAAGCTTATAGCCCTTCTTGCAGCTGCATTCGAAGCTGCCCACTGTGTTTCGGCAAATATGGTCACAGCCCCCATTGTTCAAGCGACATTCGTCTATATCTGGGGAAATGGACAGTATAGAGAATCAAAGGTAATGCTGAAGCCCACGAACAAGATCCCTCCTTCCCTCACAGAGGCAGGGGCAGCAGGACAGCCCTGGGCCTGCCCTTTCTGTCTCCTCTCTCACTCTCCAGGGGATCTGTGGCCTTTAGTACCACCTTCTTCCCTGGGACCATGTCTTTTTAGAGAGCATGGGTTGGAAGCAGAATCAGGCTCTGAGAACTGCTTGGGGCAGGAAGTAGGTGGGCATGTCCTATAAGTCGGTCTGTGCCCCTTGTTCTTCCACTGACAGGCCATCTCAAAAAGGCTGGTGGATGGGGGTTCTCCTTTTCTGACCCCATCCCTACCAGTCACAGGACCCTGCCGGGAGTGGGGGTGTCATGGGGGCAGGGAGTCCGTGAGGCAGCCCTTCAGAGGGGAGCTGGGAGAGGGGCCTGGCAGGGAAGACCTCCAGGAGAGCCAGTGAGGCGGGTAGCTGATGGGGGAGGGGGGCAGGCTGGGAACTGGACTGGGAGAGGTCTGGAGAGACTCAGGCCTGAGGCAGCTTTCAGCACTAGAAAGGGAGGGGTGGGGGCGCGGGTGAGGGCTTCCTTCCTGAGGTCAAGTTCCCCAAGCTGGTGGCAGACAGGACCCAGGCTACTCACCCCTGCTTAGGGGAGGGGGCGGGGAGGGCAGCCTTCCACTTCACTCTTAGCATACCTGTCAGCAGTCCTTCCCAGCAGGAAACCTCTCAACTCTGGCTGGATGACCGCTGCCCCAGCCCTCCCCCATCCTCCCTGTCAGCTGTTGGGCCAAAAGACACAAAGAAGGAGCCCAGTTCTCCTTCCAGGCTCCACTCCTGTGGCCAGGGGACACAGACCTGATGAATCATTGCTTTCAGTTTGGCTCCCCACCTTTTTTCTTCCCATCCCCCACTCCACCTTTCCCCCAGACCTGTCTAATTAAAAGGAAGGGAAATAGAATGGACAATGATGGAAATTATGCCCTAATAATAGCTAGTAGGAGCTGTTTTAAATAGACAAATATAATTAATATAATGTAACATAACATAGCTATATGTAACTAATATAGTCACTTAATCCGTATAATATGCCTCTGAGGCGAGCACCATTGTTGTGGTCAAACTGAGGCACAAAGACACTAAGTAACTGGCTGATGACCACAAAGTTAGTAAGAGGGAAAGCTGGGCCCTGAAGCCAGGCAGCCAGGCCCTGGCATCAGTGTTTCTAGCTGCAACCCCCCACCCCTGCCAGGCCACTCCTTTGCTTGGGAAGTCTGGGGAATGTGGGTTAAGAAGGTTATGGAGCACACCTGTGACCTCATGCACACAGGGCTCAAATATCCTTCCAGACGGAGGAACAAATGTGAATGGCACGTTCATTAGTCAGGAGGGTTGGGGGATAGGACTGAGAGGATAAACTGGTAAGGTAGGAGCCCACTAAAGTACTGGCCAGATTTCTGTGCCCTTGAACTGTGACAGGCCAAGTGGACAGGAGACAGCGCTTAGTTATGTCCTCCTGGTCAGGAGCCTCTTCTGGGGTGAGGGGCTGCTCCCATTGAGCACCCTGCCTGGCTTCTGGGACCTCAGCCCTTCACGCCTGCATGCCTCTCCTCGGGAAGCCCTTACCTTTGCAGGTCTTCCTGTCGGGCTGGAGCATGAAGCCCACAGGGCAGCTGCAGTGGACGCCGGTCGCTGCATCGTGGCACTTACTGTCACAGCCCCCGTTGTTGACAGCACAGGTCTCTGTTTAGGAGGGAGGTGGGGAATGGCAAGGGTTATGGGCCTGGAGAAGTCCTGAACTCAGGGGTGATGAAAGCACAGCGGGCGGGCAGTCCAAAGCAACAAAGCAGGCCAAGGGAAGGCCCCTGGCTGCTTCCTGATGCTTTAGAAGAAGCACGAAGCTGCGGAGGCTCCCAGCCCCCTTCCTCCCATCAGTCCCAGCCCCCGGCCCCTCACAAGTGCAGCCAAGCAGTTCACTTCCCTGCCCCCTACTTGATTGAAACAAGGTGGACAGCAGTGGGGCAGGTACAAGCCAGAGCTGTCAGGCAGGAATGTACTGAGGGGTGGAGGAGGTGGAAAGGGGAGGGCGCAGGGCGAATGGGAGCTACTTAAGGATGGTTCTCTCGCCAGGAGCAAGAGGGGCAGATAGAAAGAAGCGTCCTCCGCTTTACACTGACTGTCTTGGGAGGGGGGTCAATCTTGGGAAGAGTGAGCCTGGTGATTCCTAAGACAGCTGAGGGGTGGCCACTCACTCACGTTCCCCTTCCTCCCCGCTCTGGTGTGAAGAAAGAGCCAAGTCTGAGTGCTCATCCTCACGGAGGCAGCACCTTCCAGCCACCTCCCAGTCCCTTCCTGGCCACCCTCAACTCCTTCCGAGCCCTCCTTTTTAGTTCCAGACAGGTAAGCAAGCTGTTCAGTTGTTGTTTTACTCCCCCACTGGGGTGACATTGTCTTGGGGGCAAAAAGGAGAACAAGAATCCAGAGGAGAAGGAAGGGCATAAGAAGGTAAGTCGAAGAGTTAGACAACCGAAGAGCAGAATCTCTTCCCCAGTAAGTCTTCCCTTCACTGAGGGGTCAGAGCAGGGTGGGGGCGGGGGGTGTGTGTCAATCCGTGACACTGTCCCTATTTTTGAATACAGCACAGGAGAAAAACAGGTTTAAACCGCAGTCCAGGAGAGTCAAGTGATCACTAGGTGGGTCCACTGGGGTGGGAAGGGGACAGCCTCTGGGGGGGGCCTAGAATTCTCCCATTAGAGAGACAAAAGTCCTGAGACTATCAGCAGGGAAGACGGGAGAGTAGTTCTCAGAATCGGGGACTGAGTGGGAAGAACTGGAGAGAACTATCTGGAATCTCTGACCCCTCTAACTCAGGTGTAACCTTGTCACCAAGCACAGAGCGAGGCCAGGACTCCGAGGAGGGCTGGTTCTGCCTGCGGGGCCATGTTCTGGTCCCGCGGGTGCCCAGGTTTGAGTCACAGCAGGTCTCCGATGTGCCATTCCCACCTTGGTTTCACTTGAAGTTTCACAAGATCATGGGAGCACCCTGGGGTGGGTGGGTGGGGACTTTGAGCTCAGGCTCTCAGCCAGCCTTCCTCCCCCTCCCCCAGCACTCAGGATAAGAATCCCCGAGCCCTGAGCCAGGGAGAGGGGAACAGGTCCTGTGCCAAGTCTAGGCACATAGGGCGGGATCTAGGATGGGGAGCAGCAGGCCCGGCGTCATGTCCATCCAAGGTTGGCCTGGGAGTTGGGCATCGCTGTCCACCCACGCAGGACCGCCTTCCCCTGGGCTGGCAAGTTACTCTGCCAGGTGCTTACTGGGTGCTGCACACACACCATCTCGATCATGGCAGCCCTCAGGGAGAACACTTATTCTCCTTGCTTCACAGGTGAGTAAAGAGAGACTCAGAGAGGAGGTAGCTGAGCTGAGGTCACACACAGAGCCGGGGGTTGGCGGGGCAGAGCCAGGATTCAAACTCAGGTCTGTCAGAACACAAACGTCATGCTCTTAACCTTACGGTGGGAGGGAACGGTGGCTGTTGCCAGGCTTGTGAGCTAATGAGGCTAAGAACCCAAGGACGAGCCCTGAGCAGAGGGTGGCCTCTCGCCCTACCCCACCCCCATCTCAGGTGGCAAAGTGGGCACAACAGTGAGGTGGAACTGGCTGATTAGGCAGAGAGAGGGAAGGTGGCTGGGAAGAGGTGAGGTGTTAGAAGGTGGGTGTGGAAGGAGGGGGAAGGAGACAGCAGGAGAGGCGGAGAGGGACAGGGTCAAAGACAGACCAAGCGAACACCAAGGCGCAGGGCCAGCTCTTAGGGACTCGGGTTCCTGTCACCAGTGGGCCCAGTGCCCAAGCTGGGCCAAGTGGGCATGCAGTTAGTGGGAACCCCAGCAAGTTAGCCCTTCCCCTAGCAAGCCAGTGAGAGCGAGTGGAGAGAGCAGACATATTTACCATTAGAAACGGCCTGAGCGGGGACGTGCTGCTCTAGCCGCCTTTCCCCTGTTTGACATCGTGAAAAAGCTGTTTAGATGCTGGGCAGGAGCCACTGTGGCCGCCCCAGCCTCCTTCCACCCATTCCGCCGCCCTGCAGGCCCACACCACTGACCCAGGGGTGAGTCCTGAGACTCATACAGCAGCTTCCCCTCCCCAGCCTTGTCCTGCCTGGGATCCTCAGGGAAGCCAGACTCCCACCATGTGACTGGTGGGAAACTAAGTCTTGGAGAGGGCAGTCGTGGGCAGGACCAGACAGCATGCCAGAGGCAGAGCTGGGACGCAGCCTTGGGTCTCACAAGCTGCCGAGTCCCCAAACCCCTCACCTTTCTGCTAAACCATACTGCCCTCTCTGTCTCCCCACTGAGAGTCTTGGTGGCCCCAAACATTGAAGGCTTCTCCTACCAGGGCTGGTGGGGAAAATGAGGTACAGGGCAATGAGCTGTACTGGGCCCTCCCTGGTTGGCGCAACGGGTTAGAGCACAGCACTGCAAGCTGGCTGCGCAGCTGCTTCATTCAGTGCGAGTTCGATCCCCAGTCTGGAGCTGACCCACATGGCGCGGCAGACCTCTCCTGACCCGCCCGCTGCTCCCCTCAGCAGTGTACTTTGACAATCTGCCTGTTCTGCTCCCCACTCTGTCTCTGGTGAATCCTCTCACTGCCCTTGCCCCTCTGGCCTGCACCCGAGTTCTGTATGCATAAATAAAGAAATTAAAAAAAAAAAAAGAGTTGTACTGGGGGAGAGGAACTGGGAAAGAACATAGCTGTGAACTTAGAACAATCTCGCTCGTTCTCTGCTTCGCTTGGCCCAGAGAGTAGAGTGGGTCTTAGATTAGAGAAGAGCTCAAGCTTCACTGGGGATTTTCAAAAGCAGCCATGCCTGGGGCTATCTGGACAGAAAGAGAGAAAGCGGAGGGCCCCGACCCTCACGTCCATGAGCCCGGACCTCTGTCCTGATTCGTGCAGCTTTTCCTTGGGGACTGCATGCAGTTTCTTTAGGGAGACTGGGGGGTGAGGGGGTGGGGGAGAAGGATGTCTGAGTGTGTTCAGGGGCAGCGAGAATGTTGGGAAGCAGGATAATTAAATTTATGAGGAAAAACATGAAAGAAGCTGGGATAGATCGGCCTGGAGAAGGCAAAATGGAGACCTACAAACCTTCCAGGGTTTTTGAAGAGTTAGTTCAGAGGGAAACGTGTAGCAGGAGAGATTTTACTCAAAGAACCTTCGAACTGTGTGTGCAAGTCTTGGGGCAGGTACCTGAGGGGAACTTTAAGATCACCCCCTGCCCCGTTCTCGGCCTGGAGAAAGGCAGTGCTGTCTGCAGAGAAGGAGGCCTCTGAAGGAGATGGCTCCTAAGCTGTGTGTCCTGTCTCTGATGCACTTACAGGTCCCTGTGTGCTGCAGTCCACGAGGTACTGGCAGCCACAGACACCCCTGCCCACAGAACGAGCTTACCTGCGGCCTGGCTCGGCGTATGGCCCTTCCCCAGCTCGTTTCTTTCATTGCCTACCACCCCAGGGGGGTACCTAGCCCCCTGATCGTTCTCAGCACTCTGTGAGTACACAGTAACTGGCCTCCGCTAAAGACCTGATGACTGGGGGAATTCGGAATGAGATGACTTCTCTACGGTACTGAAAGATGCTGGAGTTAAGTCCTAGGAACTCAGGAAGAGGTGTCACGAGAGCCCCAAACTAGACTGGAGTCGGTGAGGGAGTGGGAGGGCGGAGCTGGGGGGTGCACCACTGCAGGGGGGCGGACAGGGAAGGAAGTGGAGGGCCAGGGTGAGGGCAATGCCCAGGGCGTTTACAGGAGGAGAACAAGGAGAGAAAGGATAAAGAAAAAGATACCTGGAACTCAAACCCCACTTGTCGTTTTGAGTTGGTTATCTCCAAGGAGCGCCCTGTCCCACCCTCTTTGCCCAGAGGCCAGTGGGCCGCGACAGACCCTCACTACACGAGTCAACGGCAGGATCCCGCACTGGCCTAGCCCTCCTCCCAGCCAGCCAGGGCCCAGCCAAAAAGCGCCTCTGCTTATCGTCCCTGGGTTGGCAACACTCCATCCTGCGGAAGGAGGCTGGGCAGGCTCCAGGGTGGGGCGGTGGCACCCCGGGCAGGAGGAAGCGGGTCCGGAGACCTCTGTCTCTGACCGGCCTCTTACTAGGCCTGGCCTTGTCGGGCTCAGCCTGCCCAGAAGCTAGTCTGCGCCCAGCGCCTGGCCCCCAGAGCCCCCCTGCCCGACTCCCAAGGGCCCCTGCCCTTCCTTGCAGGAAGACGGGGCTGTCCTCCAGCCTCACCCACCGATGCACGTCTTTCCGTCGGTGTGGAGCACAAACTTGACGTGGCAGCCGCACCGGGGCCCCTGCTCTGTGTCGTCACAGGTGTGCTGGCAGCCGCCGTTGCCATAGTTGCACGTCACTGCAGAGAGAGCGGGAGCTTGTCAGCGGACTATGCCTTGGGCACCACAGCTCCCTGGAACACGGAGGCTGGCCCTCTTCCGGAGTTGCCTCTCCTGAGGTCGCTTCTCCTCCCCACTCTTGCTCCTGAGGCCCAACACCCATCCCCCTAGTCTCTACCCCCCACCCCCCACCATCCCAGTGACCTCACATTTACAGTCCCGTTGGTTCTTGGTGAGCTCAAAGCCAGGGCGGCATTCACAAGCAATCCCCCCTTTGGGCGTCTCCCGGCAAATGTGAGCACAGCCGTGGTTCTTGTTCATGCAATTCATTCCTTCTAAAAGGGAAGAGGAGGGGAGTGAATGATGTGAACTTCACAAACCCAGAGGGAAAGGAACTGTGAGGGTGGCTGGGGCCTAAGAAGCTGGGAGAATTCCACTGAGGCTGCAACCCAGAGACTGCCTGTTCCCCTCACTGGCCCTAGGTGCTGGGTGGCTTTAAGATGCACTCCGAAAAAATTTTAAGGCATTGTCTTTTTCCTCAAAGAACTTACAGTCAAGCTGGGGACAAGATAAATAATGACCACATCTATACAACTGGTATTGATAATTATACAATTTCATTCAACCGGTATTTATTCAGTTCCTACTATACGCAGGGTAGTATATTAGGTGTGGGGGGATACAAAGATGAATAGGTGCCCTATGACACCTGCCTTTGGGGTGTCAGCCTGAGGAGGCAGAGTCCTTGGGGCTGAACACAGGACCCTCATGGTTGCCTCAGTCCAACTCTGACCCCACTCCCAAATGAATTCTGCCAGATTTTGCTTTAACACAAACTGTCCATTGAGCCCTCAGAAAGTGGTGGGGTTGAGGACAGAAAAAAGAGGGCGCTGGTGGAGCTGTGTAGGGAGGGTAAAACCTCGGGGTGGGGGGATTGCGGGGAAGCTCTCGAGCAGCGGGTAGACAGGTCTGGGGGTGAGGGCCGGGCTCACCTTCTGGCCGCTGGATGCAGGTGTGCTGGTTGTCGCTGAGGAAGAAGCCTTCCCGGCAGTGGCACTCATAGCTTCCCATCATGTTGACACAGCTCTGCTGACAGCCCCCATTGCCCTCGGCACACTCATCCACATCTGTGCAGGACAGGTGGGGGGAGGCGGTGGGGTGCAGGCCGGGGTCCAGGGTGAGAGCAGTCTTAGGCATCTAACAACCCTGCCTCTCCCTCCCCTGTCCAAGACCCAGCTTTCCGCCAGGCTCATCATCAGCTAGTGCCCCACTGCTCATGAAGAGGTCACCCTAACATGGCCCAGTTGGGAGGACCAGCCTCCCTCTCCCTCACCCATTGACTTTGGGTCTGAGGGTAGAGGTAAAGACAAAAGCCAGAGCAAGGGGTAGAGCCGTGAAGAAAAAACATGGAGATTGGTCAAGGATAGGAACTCGGAGCCTGCGGTTGTGATGAGCACAGGGACTTGGAGAACTTGACCAGTGGCTTCGCCTGCAGGGGTTTAACAGCCATGGCGCTGAAGACGTGGGAGGGCCAGAGTGGGGACAGGCCACAAGCTTCAACTCCTTGCCCCGTAGAGACCATTTCTGTGGACAGACCATGCCCCATCCTCTCTCTCCTCCCTCCATGCCTGGGCTTACTGCCATCTTCCCTAGCCTTTCCCTATTTTGGTTTAACAAAACAAAGTCTGGTAGCTTGGCAGGGAGGGTGGGGGAAAGCTGCCAGGCCACACCCCAATCACCACCCAAAATCACCACCCCTAGGTCCCAGAGCCAAGTTGTTCTTGGGGCTCCCACTTCAGTGCCTTGACTGGGTCTCTGTGCTGCGTACCCTCCCGAGCCACATGGCTCCCCTGGTTTGCCTTTCCCCAGCAAGCATTGGGAAGACTGGTCCTCAAATGGGACAGCTGGAGGCTGGGCTCCTGAGGGCCTGGTCACCCCCTCTTCCCACCCTCTCTGCCGAATCCCTGAAACCTTGACTTTTCCCTTTCTGGCAGATGGCCGAACAGCCCAGATCCTGCCTGAGAGACACACCTGTTGGGAAGCCGAGGTGGTCCCGTCTCTGCGCCACCTCTTGTCTTCCCCCCTGGCTTTTCCCCATCCCTGTCTTCCCATGATTGCCCTCCAACATTCCATTCTCTGTATGCTCCCTTCTAGTCCAACTCTTTGTGACTCTAGCCAAATTCTTTCCTCCAGTTCTTGGGGGTGGGATGGGAAGAGGACTGAGGCTCAGGGTGTAGTTGACTTCCTATGAGTTGCCCTAAAAGTCAAAGGTAGGGTTGACACTTTGACCCCCAACCCTAGGGTGAAGGTTAGACAGTCCCTTTTGCTTCCCCTGAACCTTCCATGTACACTTGTGTTCTTATCCTTCTGGCTGATTCTTCCTAAAGCATTTATAGAGAAACTACACTTGGAGAAAACTGGGGGCCTAGAGACGTCAAGGGCAATCGAAGGACCCAGAAACTGATGCTCACTGTCCTATAAGCAACTCACGCTCCAGGTCCAAGTGTCAGATTCTCCTTCCCAAGCAGGCCCCAGAGAGACCCCTGAGGGTAACTGGGTCAAAAAGAAGTGAGGTCCTGGCCCTCCCTGGTGGCGCAGTGGGTTAAAGCACAGCACTAAGAAGCTTAAGCCACTTCCGCATGAGTTCGAGCCCTGCCTGCCCCGGAGGTGACCACATGGCGTGGCAGACCTCTCCTGACCCGCCCGCTGCTCCCCTCAGCAATGTACTTCTTCGATCTGCCTGTTCTGCTCCCCGCTCTGTCTCTGGTGAATCCTCTCACCTTCCGCATCTCTGGCCTGTACCCCAGTTCTATATGAATAAATAAATAAATCTTAGGAAAAAAAAAAAAAAAGAAGTGAGGTCCTTCCACAATAGCTATAGTGGTAGGGGAGGTGTCTAGAGCTAGGGAGGGGGCCAGCAGGGATCAGGGTTCGAGGCCCAGGTTGGGAGCGGAAGTCTGTGAGCCTGGCCCAAAGGTGGAATGCAACTGGGTTTTGAGGCGCTCTGTAGGTAGGAATTTCTCTAGGCCAGTCGGACCTCAGACAACCATCTCTATGGTCATTTTTCTGGGTCTCGGTCTCTTGCTGCTGTCCTTTGTTTTCAATTGGTTCTAGTCTTTTTATTTTGGTACCAGAGAACAAGGTTTTGGGAAAAGACCCCTGGATTCACATCTCATGTCCTTTTCTACTGTAGGGTTTTCCTACTTGGGGGAAGAATCTGACTTAATCTCAGCAATTTACCAAAATGATAGAGACCAAAGTTGAATTTAATTCCCTTAGAGAAATGCTCCTCTCTTTGATCCAGCTCCTGGGCTAAAGGAGATCAGGTCAGAAAGAGACCTCAGAAGTGTGGAGATGATGAGACTGGAGATTGCAGAAGAGCTGGAAGAAAACCAGCCTTTAAGTGTCAGAGGCTCCCGGGCATAGGAGACATCCCCCCTTCATCAACAACACCCCTCTCATTTATTGAGGGTCTACTACGTCCTAAGGAGGGTACAGGATTCTCTCTATATCTCTTGTAGTAATGCTTCCTGCAGCCCCTAGACTGGAAGACTACACCTCCACTTTAGAGGAAGCTGAGATGCCCAGAGATGAGCTGATTTCCCAAGGACCCGGTATTAAGCAGCAAAGCAGGATCTGTCTGGAGCCAAGTCACTGGCCCACTGTGCTTTGAACCTTGTGCTAAACCCACAACTGCCACCTCCCAGCCCTGGCCCTGGCAGCACTTCCAGCAGCATCTGCTCTGATGTGTTTCACACAGCGGGATCATTTCAACTAGCACCTGCCTCACAGGGGAAGCTGGGGCCCTCCTTGGTGGTGCAATAGGTTAGGACCAGCACTGCAATCTAGCCACAGCCACTTTAGTACGAGTTCGATCCCCAGACCCGGAGGTGACCCACATGGCGCAGCAGACCTCTCCTAACCCGCCCGCTGCTCCCCTCAGCAGTGTATTTCAGTGGATTTGCCTGTTCTGCTCCCCTGTCTCTGGTGAGTCTTCTCATTGCCCAGCACCTCTGGCCTGTACCCCATTCTGTATGCATAAATAAATAAATCATAAAAAAAAGGTGGGGGGAAGCTGACTTTGTTCTCTATTTTGTGGGAATGAAGCTTTTGATCATTTTCCTTGGAAGTGGGAACTGTTTGAAAACACCTCCTTCCCAACAAGAGGTCACTCGCCACGCCCCCTCTCCTCTGCTCACCCAGACAGTTGTGTCCGTCATGTGCCAGGTGGAATCCGTCATAGCAGGTACACCGGTAATTGCCAGGGATGTTGACACAGTCGTGCACACAGCCTGCATTATCCTCTCGCTCACACTCATCCACGTCTGTGGGCAAAGAGGAATGAGGCAGCTTGACCACCTGTGCAGACCCTGCCCCCACGCTCCCGCCCCGGCCACTGGTCCACCTCTGGGTCCACCCTCCCGCCCCTGGGTCCACCCTCCTGCCCTGGCCCCTGGTCCACCTCTGGGCTCAGCCTTGTGGAGGCTTTACAAATATATGACCACCCTGTGTGTGTGTGTGTTTACATGGTTTTCATGGGCTACAAGACATTTTGCATCTTGCTATTTTCATCTCAATGTAAGTCATAAAGAAAAACGTGAACTTAAGTTATGAAGATTATCATTTCTAGTCTTGCTAATTATTGCTGTACTTGGTTTTAGGACATCCCATTGTGCTGCCATATCATAATTTACGAATCCTTTTTCTCTATTGTTGAATTCCTTCCATTTATTTCATTATCATAAATAATGTATCAAAGAACAGACATTGCCTTGACTTTCCTTTAAATAAGTCACTAATATTCCTTAGTCAAAGGGTATAAGTACCTTTTAAGATTCTGGCTAGGAAGGACAGGCCCATTTTTCAATTTATACTGTCACCAGGCATCAGTGAGTATACCTGTCCAATTGAAGTCTTACCAACACTGGAGGTCACAGATTTCAAATAACATCTTGACACTGTTTTAATTATGTTGCTTTAAGAGGCATAGATGGGGCCCTCCCTGGTGGGGCAATGGGTTCAAGCACAGCACTATGAAGCTAGCTGCAAGTGCTTAGGCACCAGTTCGATCCCCAGCCAGGGAGGTGACCCACAGGGCACAGCAGACCTCTCGCCACTTCTCCCCTCGGCAGTACGCTTTGTCAGTCTGCCTGGTCTGCTCCCCACATTGTCTCTGGTGAGTCCTCTCACTGCCCCTGCTCCTCTGGCCTGCACCCTAGTTCTGTATGCATAAACAAATCTTTAAAAAAAGAAAAAAGGCAAAGACGTGCTCATTTTCCAGTATGAAATTCCCCGAGGAAAGCTCTTCTCATCTTTTGTGGGCAGCTGTAAAGGTGTAAGGCATTAGGGAACCTCAGGCCCAAGATTCTGATCCCCTACCCTGACCCCTACCAGTCTGGTTCTGCGACTGAACAGCTCCCACCAGGCTGGCTGACACAGTGCATTTGTGCAAGCTGGAAAATGGTGTCCTCTCTGAGAAGATACTGCCTCCCCAAGTCACCCCCCTTCCGTGCCCATGGGGCCTGCACCTAAGTGTGCTGCACAGTGTGGCCACTGAAGGCAGGGCACTGGCGGCTCTCTCCGCAGAACCCCCCCTCCAGACACCCCCAGCCTCACCTTTGCAGTGTTTACCATCCCCCGTGTAGCCAGACTTGCAGATGCATTTGTATGAGCGCGGGGTGTTCTGGCAGATGGCATCGATGTGGCAGCTGTCAGTCCCCTCCACACACTCGTCCACATCTGGCAGGGGCAGAGTGGGCAGGTGAGACCCTCTGTTGGTGCGTCCCAAGGTACGTCTCGAAGGCGGTTCCCCACGGGTAAAATCTCTTCTTGTTTAAAATAGAGACGGACCTGTCCAGAAGCAGGTGCTCTCCCCACCCCCCTCTGATACCAGAGAAGGCCTACTCGGTAATGTCAGGAATTCAGAATTCCCGCTCCCCTCAACAATACTTAACCTAGGACAGGTAAAAGTCCATCGTTTGAAACACTCCTTTGATTTAAAAACAAAAAAATCTTTGGACTTGAGAGTATGCTTAACTTGATGAGAAATATTCCGCCTGGCGTGAACTGGTTGGCCTTTCTTTGCAGTGTTTAGAGGGAAGCAGTGAAAACGCACGTGGACAGTGGCAGGGTCCAGCAGCCACTGGCAATAAAAGGGGAGAAAGGAAGACAGGACCACTGAGGGATCTGTATCTGCCTCGCTGTTCTGCTTGAGCCTAGGCCTCCTCCTGTGTGTCTGCCATGGTGTCGCGAGGCTGTAGAGGTTCCATTCTGGAAGATTTTCCTTGGTCCCTATGCTGTCAACAGCGGGGGGACCGGGAGCTGGCACCCACAACCTGAAGCCTGATCAGGGCTGTCCTTGCATCTGCAGCTGACCCATGCAGGCCACCCACCCCGCCACCCTGAGCGCTTTCATCTCCCAGGTGCCGCTCCTTGCTCTAACACCAGATATTACTCACAGAGTGATGCTAAAGGAAGCGGTCACCCAAGTCCCAGCATAAAAGGATGGTTAAGAAAAAACTAAGAGGGCCCTCCCTGGCGGTGCAGTGGGTTAAAGTGCAGCACTGCAAAACTTGCTAAACCCGCCGCTTCAGCACGAGTTCGAGGCTGAGTCAGGAGCTGACCCACACGGCACAGCAGACCTCTCCTGACATGCCCGCTGCTCCCCTCAGCAGTGTACTTTGTCCATCCGCCTGTTCTGCACCCCACTCTGTCTCTGGTGAAGCCTCTCATCACCCCCACACCTCTGGCCTGTACCCCAGTTCAGTTTGTATAAATAAATAAATCTTAAAGAGAGAGAGAGAGAGAGAACATAAGCAAGAGATTCAGTGTCTTTGGGCAAAAGACCCCAATTTCTGGAGCAGTAAAATTGGTATGACATAGGAAAAATGTTTCATTCTGCTGAAAATTCTTTATAAAGTATGTTGATGAAAGGTAATGTCCTGAGGACTTTGGGGACTTATCCAGCTAAAAGGAGAGCCAAGTAATAGAAGCGGCACGTGGCAGATGTCCCGAGGCGTGATTGGCAAGGCCAGGGGTCCTCTCTCTGGCTGCACAGCAGTCAGGCCCCTGGGTCTAAATGCCCTGCTGACACCCCTTGGTTCTGGTCAGCTAGTCTGGGCTGTGCTGGCCACCAGTATTTTTCTAGGGTTTCCCAGGTGAGCTTTTGTTCAAAGGTGGAACCTCAGGCCTTACTGCTTATCTGTTAATTCTGAATCCTCGTTTTGGTGCTAACTGTTTTTCTACTAAATGAATGGATGACCCAGCAATTGCCCCAATTTACAGACACCCAGATTCCTAACTTGAGATAGTTAACTGTACTCTGCTGTCATATTTCGAGAAGTGCTTTGGGGGCAGGAGGCCTTGAGGGGTCATGAGAACTGCAATTTGGAATAATGCCCCCCAGACACCCACCTCCAATCTCCCTGGCTTCCATTCAGCCCTGCAGGAGGCCTCCAACCCTGCTGGACCCCTGCAGCCGCCCCCCAGGCTGGTGACTCTAACTGCTGTCACTCTAGTTCTCCACCTCACCCGGGCTGGCTCTGCATCATGCTGTTGGCCTGTGGGCCCACCCCGGAGAGTCCTCCTAGGGTCACGGAATGGAGAAGAGGGCAAAGAAGACGTGGTTGGGCACAAGGGACCTCTAGGGACAAGGGAGAAGCTGCATGGGATATCGGTTTGTTCAGCCGATGAAGTGGCATGAGACCTGCTGTCACAGAATGAGCGGAAGCTCTGGAACGAGTCAGTCCCACCTTCAGATCCAGCTCTGTCGCCTCTGGGAAGGCTTTTCTGATTCTCACTTTTCTCCTCTTTACAATGGAGATGAGAAAACCACAGGAGAGGCTGTGAGCATTTCACCACACCTTGACTAGGCGTGTGAGGCACCTAATCAAGTAGTGGCAGATAGTCAGACCAATACGTGGGCGCCTGAGGATCAGTATTGATGACTGGAATAGGCCACGGATGCTGGGGGGCTGTGCCGACCGACATGGGAACCGCCAGCCATGATGGCTACTTAAATTCAAATTCAGCCTTTGGGTACACAAGTCAAGAGCTCCATGCCATCCATAGCCAGTGGCCACCCGTGGCTGGTACCCAACTGGACGGCACCGATGTGACTGCTGCTGACATCTGGGGAATTCTACCTCACTGCACTGCTCTAGGGGTTCTGAGTATGGGATACCCCAGAGCTGACTGAAAAACCTTTATGAGGACTAGGATTCAAGCTGAACTTTGGAGGGCAGGGAAGCAGCTGGCATTTTGAGGGAAAAGAGGAAGCCACATCTCGCACAGGGTCCACAGCTGTTCTTTAACAAGCAAGTCTCATTTTTGACCAGGGGAGGGCTCGTTTTCTCTGCTCCTGTTGGGTCCCCAGAGAGGAGGCCCGGATGGTCACCCCTCCCCTGGGTGGTCCTTGTGCATCCCAGAGGCAGGTGTAGGGTCTTGGATAGTTCCAGTGACTAATCATCACCCTCTTCTCCGCTCTCCGTCCCTCCCCCAGTAGCCAGTGGGGGGACTTGGCGAATCCTCTGGAAGCTCTGACTCTAATGCCACCTCAGGGACATGTGCCCATGCCCGGGTCAGCTGGCACTCTGCTAGAGTCAGGCTCTCTGGGCTCCACGCCAGTCCTCTTGGAACCAGAGTGGGCCCTGGTGCCGACTGCGCCAAGCCCAGGCCTCATGGCAGAGCCTTCAAAGCCCACTGGCTATGGGGCTTGTCCAGCCATCTTCCCTAACTCATCCCCTGGCTCACATGCTTGCCCCTCTCAGGCGGCTGTCTGGCGGGTGTGTCTCCTCCGTCTGCCCTCTAGCCACCAAACCATCCCTCCCTGTCCATGCATTCACCCATGTCAATATTCACATTGGAGATGTGGTCCTCTCTCTTCTAGTCACACTCCACTCAGCTTTCCAAATGGGGCTTACAATGGGCCTAAAGCAGAGCTCTGAAACAGCGCCCCCAATATCCAGCCTCTCCTTTCCAGTACATTCTCCCAATGCTCTCCCTCCAGAAGTTGTCTAGCGGGATCCCTGTAACACCCATGGGTCCAGCGTCATCTTCATTGCCTGTCTCAGGGAGCAGGCATTTCCTAACCGGCCCGACAAGCCCTGATGGGGTTGGGCAAGGACTGATTCAGAACAGTGGTTCCTGTCCCTGATGCACAATGGGATTCCCTGTGGACCTTTTAAAAGGTGTGACCAGGCACCCTTGCATCAGAAAGGCTCATCCGAAGACCCTCCCTGGTGGCACAACGGATTGACATGTAGCAATGCAAGCAAGCTGCAGCTGCTTCAGTGCAGTTTCGATCCTCAGCCCCAGAGGTGATCCACATAGCGTGGCAGACCTCTCCTGACCTGCCCCCTGCTCCCCTCGGCAGTGTACTTGTCAGTGGGCCTGTTCTGCTCCCCACTCTGTCTCTGGTGAAGCCTTTCACCACCCCTGCACCCCATTCTATATGCATAAATAATAAAACTTTAAAAAAAGAAAGAAAGAAAGAAAGGCCCACCAGGCTGAGGCTGGACTATCTGTCTTCCTTTCCCAACTTGGGTAATGTGAGTAGGCCATTTGCACGAGAGGGAGAGGCCAGTGGTAGCGACATGACAGACATGACAGGGGTTTTGGAGTGATACTGTGGCAGGTCAAATACCAGTTCCACCTGTTGTGTGGGCCTGGGATGGCCTCTGGGCTCGCCCGTTCTCTTCTCTGTAAATGGGAACAACCACCCCAGCTCCAGCTCCCGGGGCTGATCCTTACCAGGTACTCGGCACTGCAGTGCAGGCATGTAGTAAGTGCTCAGTAAAAGTGCACTGTAGGGCCTTCATGGTGGCGCAGCAGGTTAAAGCACAGCACTAAGAAGCCAAAGCCACTTGAGCATGAATGTGATCCCCGCCCCGGAGGTGACCACATGGCGTGGCAGACCTCTCCTGACCCGCCCGCCGCTCCCCTCATCCATCTGCCTGTTCTGCTCCCCACTCTGTTCCTGGTGAATCCTCTCACCACCCCTGCACCTCTGGCCCTGTACCCCAGTTCTGTATGCACAAATAAGTAAATCTTAAAAACAGAAGTGCACTGTATTTATTCCCTCGCTCTTTTCCCTCAGTATCCTTTCTGAACACCTCCCCCCTCCCCGCTTTCCCTATGAACCCCACTCATTGCCCAGGATTGGGGAATGCAGCCCCTGGGAAGCATGTAAGGTTGTGGGACACACAGGCCTCCCGGTGCCTGCTCCATGCCTACTTCACCCATGCTGCGATCTGCCCAAGGAGGAGGGTGAGAGGGGTGAGGAGCCAGATGGGAAACACAAAGCTGCCTCGACAGTCTTCCGGGAGGCACCCCGTGTACCCCGACTCCTGCCCCCGGTCATGGGCTGGGACAAGGGTTGAAGTGGGGGAGTGCGGTTGCGGCAGCGAGCTCCCTCTGTCACCTCTGCGGGCGCAAAGGCACAGGTCTGTGACTGCAGCAGTTTTCTCTGACACCAGCTGCCCTTTCTCCTGGATTTGCTTTAGCACCCAGTAGAGCGCCATAAATTGCTAAATGTTGGGAAGAAGGTGGACAAGGGAGGAGGGTGTGAGGGACAGAGAGCAGCCTGGAAAGGGTGGGCTGTTAGAATAGCACGAGCAGTCCCGGGTTACCTCTGGAGAAGAGAGGAAGTAGCTCTAAAAGATAAGCTCATCAACTTCAAGTTTTTGCCCAGATGCAGCTCAGGAGCAGGAGTGCAGGCTGTAGAAAAGTAGAAACACACA